AGCCGGCGATCTCTTCCTCCTGCCGGAGCTCTTGCAACTCTCTCCCTCCTACCGTTCCAGGTTTGTTTTAAGAAATAAGGTTTTTAATTCAAATTTTTTTATTTTTAATTTGAAAATGTAGGGATTTTTGATTTTTAAATTAGGGCTTTTGATTTTGATTGAGCTTTCATACGTTTGATTGTTTTGTTTCAATTGAAAATTTTGAAGTCAAGGCTGGCTCTACCATGAAACTTCAATTGTGATTGAGCTATGGAAACATGATTTATTTTATCAAGCAGATAGGTTATGAAATTCAAATTTAGAGGTCACTTCACATATTAACCATCGCTGAGGGCAGTGGCGATGGTAGTGGCGGCGACCACCGCCGACGTTTCTCGCATTTTCCTCCTTCGTCTGCTTCGTTTTCTCTCTCATCGTCTAACCGTTTTTTCTCGTCTGTCTGTCTCTCTCTCTATTTTCGTTTTTGTATTTTTTTCTAGAGAATTCCCACTCCGCCGATCTGGCTCCTACAACCACCGCCACTGTTCTTGTTGTTTATTGGCATAGAGAGGTGAGCCGATCCAATAGCTGAGAGGACCATGATGATGCGACGACCATAAAGACTCTCACGAATCAGATCATAGTTCTCAGCCTGATATCATAGCAAATCTGAGCCTCAATCCTAATCTTTTCACCGACATTAAAACTATTTATATTGTTTTGATCATAGATCCCTATTTATATTCATTTTTCTGGATTTGTTCTGTTTTTTATTCAGTTTCACTCATTGTAATTTAAGTGAATTTACTTGACAGATATATAGCATCAAACAACTGGTCCATTATGTTTGGTTTGATCATAGATCCCTATTTCTATTCATTTTTCTGGATATATATATGGTATGTAATTTGCACAGATAAGAGAAACGGCAATAGAGATTGGTGTATGAATGTATGTAATTTGCACAGATAAGTAATGAGAGAGAGAGATTTGTTGGTGTGTCGTTGCAGTGGATAATTCCAACAGATAGAAAACACGTTTGCGAAATTTTAAACAGATAGATCAAAAATTTGTTGGTATGTTGTTGCAGTGGATAATTCCTACAGATGGAAAACAAGTTTTGGAAATTTTAAACAAATAGATCAGACCTTTGTAGTTTTAAACATATAAAGAAAGAACTCACAGATTTTAAACAGATAGATAGAATATTTTAAACAGATAGAGAGAGAAGCCCACAGATTTTGAACAGATAGGGGAAAAAAATCAACAGATAGTCAAAAAATTTGAATAGATAAACAAAAAATTTGAACAAATCGATATAAATTTGAAAAGATAATAAACAAAAAGTCAACAGTAAAAAAAAAGTCAACAGATAAATTAAGGCGTAAAATTGAAAACAAATTGTCATTCAAACCAAATAAAAGGACTTCCCACCAAACTATTTCACAAATGGTGGATCTTTTACCAACAAAAAATATTTACTGGACCTAATGCCCTCATTAAGTTGGACTTTTTAACAATTAACCCTTTAAAAAAATCATTATAATATCAAAACAAATAATTTATGTAATGTACGAGAGATGCATAGTTTTTACAATTTATGAGTGAATAAAAAAGATAAGATTTTGTGTTACTTATGTATATAATATATATTTAATATGATTTAATAATAGCTAATACTTTATATGTGAGAGGGTAATTTATATGTAAATTGGGCCGAGTTGGGTGATGGACCGTTCTGTGGGCCACATTTAAAAGGGCCGAGTAAAAGAGCTTTGTAGTTAGCTCGGTCTAGAAAGAGCTTTGTAGTTAACCCAGTCCAAAAGAGTCCTGTAGCTAGCTCGGTCCAAGAAAGCCTTGTATTTAGCTCGGTCATCGCTGATAGAGTGATGGCCGTTAGCTCGGCCATACCCTTCTGAACCGAAGTATTTTGAGCTTTTCTCAGGACCTTGCTACAGTTTAGCTCGGTCTAATCTCGTTATGGTTAGCACGGTCTCAGCTGGAGAAGCTGATGTGCACGCAGTGAAGGGGAGAACCGAGCTAGGTAAAGCTCGGTCATTTCAACCAGTATAGCATGGCTGTGATAGCTCGGTCGTTTTGTCATACCACCGAGGTAAAACCATCTCACTTGGTTTAAGCAGTGAGGGGGTGTTGAAGGATAAGCATTATCTTTCAGGAGTTTGATTCCTAGGAGGACTCTGCATGGAGGAATAAGAGTCCTACTAGGATTGTGCCACGCGGAACCTATAAAAACTCATAACATTACCTATGGAGAGGTAACACAACTTTGATTCTCGAATACACAGAGTTTTTGTCTATTTGTCTATTTTGCTGACTTAGGCATCGGAGAGGTATCCGGCACACACCCGCCGGCTAGCTCACGTTTGTGTTTTCAGGGAGTAAAGCGACGACGTTTGGAGGAGCGCAGGCTTGGTCAACAGGATTATACGAGAAGAATATTTCTTGCTCGTACAATATGTATATTTAATATTTGTATATATCTATAATTCGAGTTTGGGGTTGATCGGGTTGTTTAATATCTTTGCCTAAGCCTGTTTAAATTTAATTCGGACTTCTGAATTTTTACCAAAACTTGTACCAAATTTAAAATATCTTGTCCAACCTCTAAAAAAATTCGGGCCCCTAGTCAATGTGAAGAATTCTCTCTGTACATTCAGAAGTAAAGGTCTTCTTTGAGTTTAGAATGTCTCTATTTATCCTAGTTTTGAAGTTGGGTGGTCCTTCCTTAGACACATTTTATTACTGTGCTTTGAGCGTATAAGTTACAGTGGATGAAGTTACATTCCACTGTTTCTATTAGGGGTGATTGCCGATTGGGTCGGGTCGGGCCAGTTGAAGAAGTTGAGATCAAGGGAGGAGAGAAGACAGAGATCGAGGAAGGAGATGAGAGGAGAAAGAGATCGAAGGAGGAGAGGAGAGGAGCCCTACCCTGTTCAGATCAATTGAAGAAGTTGAGGTATTCTTCGTCTGCTCTCTTCTTCTTCGCCTCGTCCTCTTCGTCTTCTGTCTCCATATTCTTCTCCTCCATTTTCTTCGACTTCTCCTATTCTCTCTCACTCTGATTTCACTTTCCCCCTTTTGCTGATTCACTTTTCTCTGTTTCTTATTTCACCCGTCTCTTTCTCTCTCTCTCACTCTTTTTCTTTTTTTTTATCCTTATTTTTGTTAAACCTAAAATTCATAAAATAAATTATTTTTATTTAAAAAAAACTCATTTTTTATTAAAAAAATTTAAAAATATATTTATTAATTTTACTATTATTGTAATTGTATAAAAATTAATAATTTTCTTTTTATTTTAGACATATAATAAATAAATAAAATTATATATATTAAATGTGTCCCAAGCGTGTCGTGTCCCCCATTTTTTTAAAATTTGCGTGTCCCCATGTCCATGTCGTGTCCCGTGTCCGTGCTTCATAGGATACTATCATCCGAACCATATCTGTGGATTTTGAAATATTTTATCCGTATCGTTCGCTAAAAGACATGCATTCGTCCAAAATCAATCAGGTAGGGTCGGTTGGGTCCGTTTGGGCGGATCCATGATCACCCCTAGTTTCCATGAATATGGGATCCAATCTTTTTGTAGATGAATTTTGTGGATTGATTTTTGGGCAAACTTCACTTTATTCACTTTATCCCTGTGGTTTGGGATTGAAATGCACCGTTGAAAATGACTACATAACCCCCTAACATTTAAAAATGACTACATAACCCCCTTGTGGTTTGTGGATTGAAGTGCACCTTTAGGCCCATTAACGATTTAATGAAAAATACTAAAATACCCTTGTCTTTTAGTTATTTGTTTGGAAGGCAAAGTGCACTTTAACCTCTTGTGTTTTTATTCCATGTTCGAAATTTGAAAATGAGCATATAACCCCCTTAGTCTGCCACGTGTTTCACACTTACTGTTAAGTTAGACGGAATGTTTAACGGTGCATTTCAGTCCACAAATCACGTGGGGTTATATGGTCATTTCCAAACGTTAGAGGGGTAAACTGCACATGGATCAAACTACAGGGGGTAAAGTGAAGTTTGTCCTTAATTTTTTAGTGCATTAATCATCAACCAATAGATTGGTCATTCAAAAAGGAACTTACGTTGACCCTGTAATATGAGATTTCTTATCAAATCACCATTTCTATTAATTTCTTGATCCCATTACAGATGAATCTTTCAAGTTTGCATGAGGAAAAACTAGATTCGGAAACAGTTGAGCACTCAACTCATCATTTTATACAAAATCCTCATGCACTGGGTCACCTTATTGATCTAAGCAATGCTTTTTGACCTCGATAATCAAACACCTTTTACAATTCTTCAAAGAAAAATAAAGCAACTTTCCAACTATTGATCTAAGGAATGCTTTTTTACAGCAGTTTCATTCATCTCTTATTATACAAAAAATTTAGCTCATATTACACTAACATAACAAATACAGAATGTACACAGAACATTAAACAACATTGAGACTGTTCCTGCTATTGAGTAGTCTACATTTTCTTCTAATACAAAAACATGACACTAAGAAGGATGTTCATGAGCAAAAAGGGAGAAATGATGACATACTTGCTTCTCAATCCACTGAATTGAAATATGTCACAGAGCTTCAGTCACTCAGTTTTGGGATTTTGGAAGAGGAATAAAATAAGGCCGATGAGCAAGGATGAACGAGATTTGCTTCAAAAACTAATAGCAGACTTACCCTTGTGAATATTGGACTCCAAAAAAGTGTCCTTGAACATGGGCTTCTAGCTAATTGAAAAGGATGAAGTTGCTCAAAAACTTATAGCCAACTTCATCTTAACTAGTTTACAGACTTGCAACTGCAAGCCACATCATGCAGCCTCTCTGGTTGCCACATTATGCAGCCTTTCTGCCATTATATTGCAAACATTTCCTTTTTATTCCATTGGTTTTGATTCCATCATGATGTTTTGTTGAAAGATTTATGCTACTAAACTTCGTCATTAATCAAATCTTTGGTTTCACCTTTGCTATTTTTCTACTTGGTTCAAGCCATCATTGCCATGACTACTCTTCAGTATGTCTATAACGGTCTCATGATTATTATTTTCTAGTTCTTTATTATCTTTGGTGTCGGTTAAATTGTCATTCTTCCCTTCTAGTTGCAATGATCCTCCCACATCTTCAGCTTCGGTAATTTTCTTGGAGTTGCCTTCATTTTTTATTGAACTTGGATTAATCACCTCAGCGTTTTCTGATTGTTCAACGACAACAATTGGTCTTATTAATCTTTGGGACTCACATTGAGTTTCACCAACACCAGAGCTCAAGTCCTCCTTGCTAAGAATCACATTGGCTATTGACTCATACTCACTGGAAGTGCTATCAACTTCTTCAATGGACCTCCCTGGGTCAGCCCTAAATGGTTCCTGTCCAGTGTCACAAAAGTTGCTTATGTGAATCCATAATCCCTTTCAATTATTAAAGGTAGTTTTATTTTTATTTTTTTTGCCATTATCAACAAAATGTATTTTAAACAATAAGTTAATTACCATAAAAGAAACGAATAAACAATTATATATTTATTTGGAGAAGATAAATATAATCAAGTATAGTAGTTTATTGTATGTTATAGTAATATAGAGAAACATATCAGCTTATTAGCTAAAGAAGGCAAAAAATGAAATAAAGTTAAATGTAAAAACTCTTTGGCATAAGGTAATTTAAATATTCGAAATATATTTTTAGTTGCTTGAACTTAGGGTTAAAACCAAAGAGCATGAAAGTATTATTTCTATCTTCTTGATTAAAAAATAAAAAAAAAAAAGAAAAGAAAGAAAAACCTGTTCAACTTCAAATTACCTTACTTTCTACAGAAGTTACAGAAATGTTTGAATCATTATTTTGCTCCATTGGTCTTGACGAGCGAACATCATTAGCTTCATAAGCAGTGAAAACATCGAATTTGTCTTCAACAACTTCTGTGGCTTCCAAGCTATCCTTAGGGGTTGGCATTGATGGGTTTTCAGTATCCTTAGATTTCATTGATTCTCCAAACTCTTCAATTCTTTTAATGGCTCCTGAATGCTCATTTTCTTCCACTAGTATCACTACACTATTGTCAGTTAATAGTAAGGCCTTAGCTTCAACATCTTCAGTAGATTGTAAGTTGAGTTTTTCTTTCTTCTCATTACTGACTGAACTGTTTATATTACAATGGACATTATCTTCTTTGATGGACTTCCCTGAATAATTGGGTGCATCCTATTAATTGCCAGATTATCCAAATGTTAGTATAGCAATCTTTCTTTTCTACTTTTTCATATTAGTTACGTATGAAATTATCTATATGCAAGTATGATCTCATGAATGCAAAACCAATATATATATATATATATATATTAAGAAAAATAACAAAAAGGAAATGAAGAAAAAGTTGAAAAGATTTAATATTTTTTGGAGTACTTTAAGTGAAACATGCAACTATTGTCGCCATTAACTTTTGTGGCTAATTCATTGAAATTACTATCCAACATAATTTTACCTCATCTTTAGTTATGGAGACACTAAAATAGTCATTTTGCTCTGCTGATTTGATAAGGCAATCGAGCCTCGTGTTTAATCAGTTTTCGGACATGCTGTCAGTATCTTTGATGGATTTGGAATTGGTGTCTTTATGTGGAATTGACAGTTCAATTATTTCATGTACATATTCCAACATGTTATAACATGCATAAAAATGCAACTGTATCAGTGTGCCCGCACCCACATGTGTATGTGTGTGTGTCAATTCTTTAAGAGAAAGAGAGAGAAAGAAGGAATGCAACAGATCTCGGAATTAATTTTTGTTAACAGTTTTAGAGATTTGTGCCTAACAAAATAATGTAATGGACATGCCACTCGTACTGCTAATTTCATGTGTGTTTTTTTATTTCCTAAGCCTCAAATTTGCTTTCTTCTCGTTTTGCAATAACATATATTCTTTAATTACTATGCAAACATTGACTGACCTGTAATATTTTAGACTCTCCACCATTAGATGGGCGATCAGTTGAATCCTCCATCAAATGTAGTGTATTTTGAGGCACGGTTGGTATTAAAATTTCAGGTGGGAGTCCATTTAACATATTATTTTCTTCCATCTCCCTTTCAGGTTGTTGAAGCCCCACATGCATTTCTTGATCAAAACCTGATATGGAGGCTTGATCAATAGATAACTTTGTCTCTAGCACAGACTTGGGAGATGATGATGAACTTGAGGCATTGGAAATCTGTTCAACCACTTCTGATACCACAGATGGTGGATTGGGATCATTAGTAAAACTTTGGTTAAGCCCATAAAGTCCACTTTCTGCAGTACTTGGTAGCGTAAGCGAGGTAATGAGTCCATTAGTACTTTGGCTAACCTCAGATATTCCAACTACAGTTTCTTGTACATGCTCTTGAGTTGATTCCAAAATGTCAGTGTTTCCAATTGGTTTCGAAGTTTCTGTTGTGTTATTACATTCAGCCAACTTTAAAGACTCTCCTTCAAACTTTTTGGAACTCTTTAAATTGTCATTGTGCTCAGTTGGATCATGTGACTCCAAGATGGTTTGATTCTCATCCATTTTCCCGGATTGGACTTCCATATAGTTGGTGTCAATAGACTTTGATTTACCTTCCTCAGACATTTTTGAGACAACCCCACTATTTTCTTCCTTGATCAATCCGTGGACTTCACTTTTTGTGTCATCAGTGGTTTTCAAATTTTTCATCTCATCATTTGCGGGGACTTGTGAATCCTTTACACTATCAATGTAGTTCAACTCTTGTGTAGACTTCATAGGAAGATTTGATGGTTCCTGTTCAATATCACCATAGGGGCAATTATGTTTTCCATTCTCTCTCTCTCTCTCTCTCTCTCTCACACACACACACACACACACACACACACACACCCTCCCCCCCCCCACCCACCAACCCCCCCACCAAAAAAAAAAAAAAAGAAGAAGCATTTCAGCATATATAAAACATTATATGCATGAACATTAAAAATAAATATTGATTTTTCCATAACCAATGAATACAAAGGATAGCATAATCAATATGCAATTTAAGATTCTTCCATTATGATAATTACAACATTTGAACTAGGAAGTGGTCACACTATTAACATATAGGAAATATGATGTTGATGATTTTAATAGATTTATGCACAAGGCCTAAAAAATAAAGAAAATTTTCTACACTATGGTTGTTAAATATTGTTAGAATTTCCCATCTTTACCTTCACCTACTCCACTACACACTCCACTTCACCTACCTCCACTTCACCACACACTCCACTTCACCTAACCCACTATCACCTCCACTACACCTACTACCACATTTTCTTCTATATATAGATTGTATAGGAATTGTAATTTAATGAATCTTGTAATACATCAATGTATCAGATCAATCAATCAATAAATACATTCTTACAAATATCATAAAAAAATTATTATATTGTGAGTAAGAAAATATAATCAAATCTAAGATACTATAGTGAAATACATGCTATAGTTAGTGTTTGGTCTCAATTATACTACTATGTTGGTGCTATATATGTTTTCTTTTTTATATTATTGCAAAACCCTGACTACTTGAAGTTATTCATGATCTTTGTCTATAGATGAGTAAGTTGTTGAATCTGATGACAAATCATTTAGAGGGAAATTGGACTTACATGTTGAAGAAAAAATTCATTCAACAATTTATTTTCTACCTGCTCTTCATTGCGTTTTTGGACCTTCAGGTGCATCTCTAGATCAATATTTGATGAGGGGGTTGGATCCACTGAAACCATTTTTTGTGTTTCGGATTTTGGAGATGAAGATGAACTTAATGCAATAGGAACTTGTTCAACCACCAATTCTGGTAACATGGTTGATGGAATAAGGTTATTGAAACTCTGGTTGACCCCAGAAAATTCAACATCAACTTCACCTTGTTCACATTCTCTTTCGTTCTTTGATTCCCAAATAGCTGTTTTCTTAAGTGGCCTTGATGGTGCAACAATGCCCTTATGTTTAGCTTCCTTTTCAAGCTCTGCTTCAAAATCTTCAAAACACTTTGAATTATCAATTTGCTCATCCAATTTATACAACTCCAAAATCTCGCTTTCACCATGTTGCTCATGTTGGCCTTCATTATAAACGATAGGATTTGAAATGGTTTCTTGAATACCTATGTCTTTAACTATTTTCAAGTTTCCGATATCATGGTTCATAGGGACTTTTGAATCATTCATATCAGAAATTATGCTCAACTCCCGTATAGAATTCTCAGGAGGGATACATGGCTCCTGTTCAACATCAAAACAATTGTAGTGGTCAGTCAAAATAATATTTTTTGTTGTATGTAATGACATTAAAAAAAAGATTTTAATCTATTAATTTGCTCAAGGAAATGAATAAAAAGTGGGCATGTAGAATTCATTTGCCATCCAAGAAAATCAGTACCAGTTGTAACTTTCTTTATGTCATGATAGTTGTAATGTCTACATTTCTCAAAGCTTCAGTTGTTAATTCAATTCTTTTATAACTATTTAAAGAGATTATTATACAATAGACTGTAACAACTTGAAATAAACTGTTTACATAATGTAACCTTTTTTTTAATAAACTTAATCTAGTTGTAGTTTTAAAAAAAAAAAAAATTAAATAAATAAATAAGAAAACCCTAGTGTGAACTCAATGATTATTTACCGTCATGATTTTATCCATTTACATAATCATTATTTAAAATATAGTTATGCAAACTTACCAATAATTTTCCAGGATCTCTAACATTAGGTGGATATGTTACTGGACCCTCTGTCAAATGCAGTGTATCCTTTGTCATGGAAATGGGAGACAATGATGAACTTGAATTGTTAGGACCTTGTTCACCTACCATTTCTAGTTGTATGCTTGATATAGTGGGATCATCAAAATTCTGGTTAGGCCTAGAAGATCCAATGTCTGCAACTCCTTGTTCATCTTTTCTATCTTGGACATTCATATTCCCAATCAAATTTGAATCCTCAGCAGTGTGTTTTTGTTCACTTTGGTTTTGTAATTCTCCTTCGTAATATTTAGTAGACTTTGAATGATCATTTTTTGGATCTCCAGAATTGTTTTCGATAAGCTCAGTAAATTTTGCATCATTTTTCTTGTTAGGAACTGATTGGTCCCTTGGAGCCTCTCGCTTGATCAATATGGGGGCTTCGCCATATGTGTCTTTGATAAATCCCCAGATTTCTTTATCGTCATTAGTTAAGGCTGCTTGATCGTTCATATTGTAAATAATGTTCACCTCCCGAGCAGATGTCTCTGGTAAAGAAGATGGTTGTTCCTGTGTAAATGTCATGATAGGTACGATGATTAGTCCAATCACTTTATTTATTTTTTCCTCTATCACACAGGCACACCATATATGTAGTAGATTTAAATAAATAATCACTTTCAATAGCAACAATGAAAATATCACATATATTTTCAAAGAAAATGAATATAAATCTCTCTTTCTGTTATGCCATCGGTTATGCTATTTAAATCTATTCACCAAAGTTGCTAGTCAATAATTTATTAGAAAAACTTACTGACCTCTAGTTTCCGAGAATCGCCACAATGAGATGAGCGAGCCTCTGATTCCTCAGTCGATTGTTGTGTATTTTCAAGTGTTGATGAAGCCAAGTTTTCAGTTAATATTGCCTTGGAAGAATAAGAAGTACTGGGTGGTTGGACATTTTCATACACTTTGTCATTGAAATCCATTGCATGGGTTTGACTGTTCTCAGGTAAATCTTGTTTAACTACTTTTTCTGGCAACACGCTTGATTCAGCTGGATCCTCAGATTTTTTGTTGATACTTGAAAATCCGACTTCTATAATATCTTGCTCACTAACCTCATTTACGTATTTTGATTTTAACTCATTTTCTTCTACTCTGGATAGGTTAGGTGAGGCAGCCCACATTTCCTCACCGCTAGAAGTTGTCTTCTTTTCCGTGTCCACATCCACATCATACACCATAAATTCTCCATCCGAAGGTGAAGTGATACCATCTATTGTCTGTGCTGGTGAACTAACTTCAGACACCTCCACTTGCAAGTCAGAAGCCATGGAATGTGAACGGGTATGATCTAACCCATCTACATAAAATAAGCATTCCTCAGGAGGTCTTTTCTTCTCAAATGAAGATGGACTACTATCATACAAAAGCTCATTTCTTCGAGCATTGTCCTCTTTATCTACAGCTATATTCTTCAGAACTGAAAAACTAAGGGATTTCAATGTTTCATCTTTGTTAGCCATGGAGATTGGTACATTCACTTCTGAAGAAGGTAATGAGCTTGACCCGCCAAGGGCATCTTTGACTAATCTTGGCTCTGTGTGAACTTCACTTCTATCCTCTTGATAATGAACATCAACCAAATTAAGCACTTGTTCAGAGGTTTGGCCTTGTTGTCTAGAATGATTATAAGAATTGTTAATATACATGGGCTTACCTTCTTGAATTGATTTTGTTTGAATTATTTGGTTGGTACCTTCCTTATCTGCATGCCAATGGATACATATTAGTAGAACACACAAATACCTTAATTCCACATCTTACTGAGTTGGAGTTGGGGATGAGTAAATAGACCTCATTTACCTGTTTGATTTCTTAATCTGGAGCATTCAGTCCTGTGTCTGGTACCAAAGTTATGATAAAAATTTTCACATCGACTTTGATCAAATTCCCCTGGCCCTGGAAAAAAAGCCCCCAAACTGAAGCTCTCGTGCCTGCAGAATATCATGTCTTTTTGTTGAGTTGATATGAACTCTTCTTCAAAATCATCCCCAGTGAGATTGGGTTTTTCCTCTTGAGGAGCATAAGGAAGGTCGAAAGGGTTGTGCATTGGTAACAAAACAGAAGGAGCTGAACTGGGGGTGGGTGAAACCTGAGGCTCACTAAAATTGTTGGCAGGAAAAGGGTTACCTCTTGGTATCAAAATATTAGCTATTTGGCTGCGAGGGTTATTGTTGCCCAAGTTCATCAGTGTTTTTCTGACCTGTATACTCAATAATTTCCTTGCTTTTCGTTTGGCAATCAGACCTTCTAGCCTCTTATTCCTTTCAATCTCTGAAATTCCAAGATCCATAAGGTTTTTTTGATCATCCTCTGTCCATTCTACAGCCTTGTTTCTATCCTCTTGTGTCTCTTCTCCATCATCGTCTTCTGCATCATCTGAACTCTCTGCCTCTAGCTCACCTCCACCACCACTGAATTTGTCAGTCGTTTCTTCAGAGTCATCAGGACACTCTGGCCTTAATCGCTGAGAAGCAGTAGACGAACTTTCAGTATGATCAATCATTGAATCTACTTTTACTTCTCGTATTTCTTTTAGGTTTTCCTCTATCAGAGCAGTTTTATCAACCAAATCATCATAGGAGATTGTTGAAGAAACCATGTCTTTTTTCTTCACACCCTCCTGCACACTAACTTCTTTGTCTTTCTCTTTGGCATATCGTCGTCTAACTGATAGAGGTCGTACACAAGAAGAGTTCTCTTTCTTGGCGGTAATGGAATCATCTTCAGCAGAATTGGGAATCTGAGAAGAAATCTCACAATTCATCTTTTGACCTCTGGCATTTTTTAAATTTTGTTGATGAATATTGAAAATTAATCTAAAAGCCACAACAATGAAGATAAGAATAGGCAAAGAGAAAACTAGAAAAGTGAAGAGAGAAGGAATAAACATGTACAGAAGGAAGAACAAAAACAAAATACCCGAAACTACTGGGTATTTTTTTATGAATGTACAACAAGATATATTGAAAAAATTAAGAACTTTTCGCATACAAACTTGGATGCCCTTTGCATCGAGATTCATCTTGATCCCTCTTAATGTTCTACTTTTTCATGTATTTTTTAATTAAACTCTTGAAGAGGATAGATCAAAATAGAATCAAAATATATTGTTTAATTTCCTCCCTTTTTTGATTCTAAGAGGAGACCATGAAAATGAAATCAAAAGTAGAAAAAATATGAAGGAATTTATGTATCTGACTCAATCAGCCAGAAATGCTTCTTTTCACATGCGACATTGTATTGAAATTCCCAGAGATTGTGGGACAGAAATGGAGGTGTAGTGAGGGTAGAGATTTTACTTCATCTAGAAATGGAAACCAATCAAAATGGCTAGTTTTCTTTGTTTTTGTTTTACAAATATGTGTTTTTGGGTCAAGTCATTTTTAGAAACTTTTTTTTTTTTTTGGCTGACAACGTAGGTAGATCCTGCAATTTAGGACTTGTCTACTATTTTGTTTTTGTTTCCTTCCTATTTTGATGGGATCAATCTGGAATGTGGCAGTTAAAAATTTGATTAAAAAGAAATAGTGGTTATTGCTGTTAGAGCATCTCTAAAATAGAATGTAGGTGTACCTTAAGAAGTGGAGGTGGTCGTTACTGTTAGACATCTAAGGACATATTTAATTGGGTGGATTATAATATATGATTAGCATTATTAATCCATGAGATTAGCCTCGTTTGGCAATTTAAAGTTTTGGTCAACAAGTTAAAAAATTATTATAAGTTGTTATATCACTCTCTTTATTTTTTTACGCATCTTTTCATAAAAAGTCAAAAAGTTATTAAAATAGTCTATTCCCAATAATATTTCATTGTTTGGTTGTAATTTTTGTTATCGGGATTAGATTCCGATTAATATTCTATTCAACAAAATTGATGAATTTTTTAATCTTACAACTAGAAATGCAAAACAAGTATATAATTGGAATGATATATTTCCATATTCGTTGCAAAACAAATGTGGACAAGAGAAAATTATTTTTCTCCTTAATTTCACGGATTGTTAATTTCCTCACTATTAATCATGTTAATTAAACGAGGCCTAATTGTCTTGTCATTTGAGCTATAATTATTAGAAATTGTTTCTATATAAACTCTTTTAATAATAAAATTATAAATTTTTGTGATAAAGAAATTATAAATTTTGTGACGTGTTATGTCACTTTATATAGCCCCGTTTCGAATAAAGGTTGGGGTTAAAATAGTCATATAGGACAAAATAGACTATTTTAGTCAAATATGATAAAACGTCACATCCAATCCATAATCATTTCATTTTTTCTCTCGTGAAAGTCAAAAAATCGATCCCAAACGAGGTTTTTCAGCGTTAGGTTAAAAAAGTCAAAAAACCAATTTACATCCTAAACAAACTCATAGTAAAATTTAGGGTAAATTACGCCGACACTCCCTAAGGTTTAGGCTAATACAAATACTCTTTTCACGTTTGAGAAATTACATTGCACATCTTATAAGTATTTATTATTTAACGTAAGTGACAGAAAATATAGAATGACCATAATGCCCTATATTGATAGTATGAAATTACTATGTGACCCAGTAACCCTTAACACTCTTCAATCTTCTTCTTCTCATCTCTCCTTGGCTAGCCCTCATCAATTCCAATTATAAGGCACCATCAATATATACTAACATCAACATCATTACAGCAACTAATAGGGATGACAATTTGAACCCGACACAACGAGGACCCGTTTCCCGACCCCGGTTAAAGCGATTTTTTCCTGAAAAATACCTACGACGAGTCGAGGACATTATTCAAAAATGAATCATCGATGATTTTCGGGCCGGGGACGGTGATATGTTTCCCAGCCCCGGCCCTCAACCCCGTCTCCGTTACCCCCCGAAGTAAAATTACTATATATACCCCTCTATTAAGTTATGACCCCTCTATTTGTCTGTCTGTCTGTCTCTCTCTCTCTTTCTCTCTCTCTCTTCTCTTTACTCATTTTCACTTTCACTTTCACTCTCACTCCCGTACCTCTCCTCTTCCTCAGCGCCATCGCCTTTGTTCGCGACGTCGGAGTCACCGTCCACCTCGTACCATCGTTTCATCTCCGTCGACTCTGTCGTTCGCTCCACATTCGTCGTTGCCCTCTCTCTCTTTTTGTCGCTGCCACCTCCTTCATCCCCTCCTCTCATCATCGCCGTCCTCCTCCGTCATTCGTCGCAGTCATCGTCATCCATCTTCGTCGTTCATTATCACCGATCTCCTTCGTCGTTCATCATAGTCACCATCGCCGACCTCAGATCTGTTTAATGACACTCAGATCTCATGTATGTATATGTATACATGTATGTGTGTGTGACTCTATCTGTCCTTTTTTTTTTTGGTAGTTGATCTGTTGCTGTTGATGATTTTGTTGATGTTGAAAGTGGTTGATAATGTTGTTGAAACAGATTTAGGCCGGGGATTTTTTGGGGTCAGGAAAACTCGATGATAGGTTTCCTGTTGGGGATCGGGGCTAGGGACAGGAAAATTTTTACCATCGGGGATCAGGGACGGGGAGTGTGATCACCAGCCCCAGCCCGCCCCATTGCCATTCCTATTGGATGAGTTATGGCAAAGCAGGGTGATGGTGGAAAACCATGATGGGGAAACATATTAAGAAGGAATATGAACTTCTGGTGGGGATTGCATTTGTGGATAAAATTTGGTATTCTAAAAAAACCAATAGATGACATCAGCAAAAATTGTTAATTATCTAACAATTAATTAACAGAAGGGGCAATTGGTAGTGCCACATTATTTGATTTTAGAATTTTGAATCTAATTTTTTTTAAATTTAGTTTTTTGTTTTTCATATTTTTTTTTCCTTTCACTGATTTTTTTTAATATTTTAAGCAAATTTTGTTAGTTTTTAAATATACGTAACATAAATACACTTAAAAAGTATAATATTTGTGAAAAAATATTTTAAAAATTGGAAAAATTATCAGAAGGTACTATATGGGAATCAGTTACTCCAAACAATTCCATGGATGATCTAATACACTGATAGGTCCTCTTTGTTTTGACAACCTTACCATGAGATTCTGTTTTAAATTTTGGTATAATTTGGTGGATGTTTTTACCCTTCTTCATTAGGGAATGCAATCTTAGGGAAGTTGGATCCAATTTACATTTCAGTCACTCCAATGTAATAACGTAACACACTAAAAAATTTCTTAGAGCACTTTTAAAAAACATAACACTACTCCAATGTAGTACTAAAAGACTCCTTAAACACTCTAACATAACGCACAAAAAGACCTCTTAGTGTATTTTTCTCAAATGTAACACTCTAATAACATAACACTTTAACGTAACACACTAAAAAACTCCTCAGTATACTTTTTACAAACGTAATACTCCAACGTAACACATTAAAAGATTTCTTAGTGTACTTTTACCAAGTATAACATTCCAATGTAATACTAACATATTAAAAGACTCCTTAGTGTACTTTTTACAAACGTAATATTTCTTCAACGTAATACACTAAAAAACTCCTCCAATGCAACACTACACTAAAAGATTCTTTTAGCATATTCTTTTTCCCAAATGTAACATTTCTCCAACATAACACACTAAAAAACTCATCAATGTACTTTTTATAAACGTAACACTCCAACGTAATATATTAAAAGAGTTCTTAGTGCACTTTTACCAAATGTAATACTAACACATTAAAAATCTTCTTAGTATACTTTTACCAAACGTAACACTCCAATGTAATACCAACATATTAAAAAATTCCTTAGTGTAGTTTTTACAAACGTAACACTCCTCCAACGTAACACACTGAAAAACTTCTCTAACGTAACACTCCAATGTTACACATTACACTAAAAAACTCATTAGTGTATTTTTTACAAATGTAACACGTCTCTAACGTAACACACTAAAAGACTTTTTAGGGTACTTTTTCCAAACGTAACACTCCAATGTAACACTTTAATGTGACAGACAAATAAGTCATTACATATTCAAAAATACTAAGGCCATGTTTGTTTAGACGGACTGAATTAGGTTGGATTAGCATTTCCACGACTAATAGTCCTAGGGCTACAAATCCCTTTGGATTGTGTATCATATCCTATGTTTGGATTAAGGCTAAGTTTGGCATAACTCAAAAAAGCTAAAAAGCCAAAAAGTCACTATCCTATTTAAGTTATATCATCTTATTTAAGTCACATCACCTCTCTACCACATCACATCAAACCCAACCCATATTTTATAAAAAGTCAAAAAGTGCACTTATTTACATCATCCCAAACAACCTGTTAGGATTATAAGAAGGGACTAATAGTCTAAACTTTAGTTTAGTCTTCCAATTTATATCACACCCCCTCTATGGGATTGAATAGTCCATCCTATGTGGGATACCATATCCGGATGGATTGTTAATCCGTATTTCAATTGTTTAACCAAATATCGGATTAATAATTTTATTGGACTATTAATCCAATCCCAAGCTCATGTCCACCCAAACAAACATGGCCTAAATGGATCACAAGAAAAAAAAAATGGGATTATATGGATCACAAGTCCAAAATATGAGATTTATTGGTCAATTTCTCAATAAAATTTACTAAATGTCAAAAATATAAATAAAAAAAAAAATTCAGTGTATATTTGTCTTCTTATATATTTATTGATTTTTTAAATATTTTTTTATAAATATTTTACATTTTAGGTACATCTAGGTTGGGTGTATCTAAAAGTAAAAAAAAAAAACCCTTAAATATTAAAAAAATTTGCTCAAAAAAAAAAAAACTTAATTTTCAAAAAATTTGAGTTCTAAAATTGAAACCACACAAGGTGATAATTTTCAAAATGTGATGGGAGAATATAGACTAAATGCAAACTTTAAGGGATGTCACTGTAATTTACCTACAATTTTAAAAAACAAATAAATAAAACCAAATCATTTTCATGAAAAAAAACCCTACCATTTCAAAACGTGGGTTATAATAGCTGTGTTTAGAGTAACTTATTAAAAGTTAAAAATTAATAACAAAAAAATAAAAAATAAAAATATTTCTCCATCAATTTTTAAATAATTAAAAATTAAAAATTTATTTAAATTATTTTTACGTAATAAATTCTAAAAAATTACACCATACAACAAACAAACACAATGCACCCTGTTCTTGAGGGTCCTTCGAGGTAGAGGGAGATTGGGCGAATAGACCACTGTTCTGGTTCCTGTTATCAGAGAAGGAAGAGAGGTCTTCGTCAGTATATAAATTATTGATATTATTTTTGTGATAACTTGTATTGTACAAAATTTTGATTTACAAACAAAATATTATTTTCTGTCCATTTTTTTACTTCTTCATTTAAAAAAATAAATGAATTAAAAGGGCTAGTATATGGAGGCCGCTCTCATTTGTAATGATCCTTCGAAAATGTTTTTAGTTGGGGATATTTTTGTAACGTAATCGATGGGACATCTTTCTTTGCAGAGTACAAATAATTGTTCCTCCATTTCTGTTTCTACAGGTATTCCCCGCCAGAGTTCATTTCTGTTCTTCGAAAGACTTTTCCTCTTAGATAAAAAGTCTCCCTATTCTACGAACTCGCCCTCTTTTTGTATATGCTGTCGACTTACTGTTGGAGAGTGGAGTTTTTCTATATTTGGATGATAGATTCTGCCGTTGGTTCCAATGAGATCGAAAAATCTCGAATTGGTGGATTGGATCTTCTTTGTGCATTGAACCATGGCATGAAAATGAGGGTTTCCATTTTTGTGGAGCTTCTTTGTAACAAGTATGTAGTATCGTTGACATGTTAGTTGGAGAAGGGATTTGAGAAGTTCTAAAAGTTGTTCTTTTGGACATGGGCATTGTGGGTAGGTGAGGAAAACACTCTTGGCATAAAAACGGAAAGAGGTTTGGCGAGGCATTTTATAGTGGTAAACAGTGAACTCACACCAGTCGTATAAGGCCTCCCTATTAGTTAAAAAAAATGGTGTGAATGGTGTGAGTGGTGTGACTGGAGAGGCATTGTATTAATATTACCATCGCCTCCTCTCCGCTGATCGGGTCATCAATTGTTGTACTTATGGACACGTGTATGGTTGGGGTTAAAAAGAAGTCACACTGGGGCTCGGGTGTGAGTGGTGTGAGTACTTTTGATTTCTTTGCCGAATTGTGCTACACACGTGTCACATTTCTGGTGGTTTGCGTGGTTGTAAAGTAAAGATATTTTTAGAATGATTGACATAAAGCAAAGGTGGGAAAATAAATGTGTTTTAATTATTTTGAATGGGGAATCTTCGTACTAGTTTTGCTATTTATTTGGTACTATACCACATTTGATAGTATAGGGGAATATGCTTTTGCAGTGGGATAACTATTGTGGTGAAGTTGTGTTTTTGGTACCTTGTTTCGTCCCTCATTTTTAGTCTTTTTTTTTTGTTGATTGTTTTGGTATACAATGTCAATACTTCACCATCCATGACACTTGTTTATTGTTAATCGAACAATAACCATTCTCATAATAGACTAACTCGCATTAACAATCCACAGGGAAAATAAACCAGGCCTGCAGACGTCATTACCATCTAACCTCCGATCATAAACATTTACTCTGACTAACCCACTAGCATTGAGTGCATAAAGGGGGGAATATTTTATCATCCTTAATACTCTTTTGTTTGCATCTCAACCTCAATTGAGAAAATAAATTAGGCAAAGCAAGTTCAATACAACTGAAATAATTTGCTGAAGCATCTTCAACAACATCAGTTTTTATATTGTTCACCTTCATTCACCTGAACATTAAAAATAAAAATACATAAACATATAATTCTAAACAGTTTTAAAGTACATCTGACTCCTTAACGTAATTTTGTATTCTTTTCCATTAACAAGTAGTAGCCACTAAATATAAGACACCCTTCAGAATACTTCTAATATTTCCCAACAGCGTATCTTTGTAGTCCGTCCAAACATCAACTGGGAAGAACTCGTCCACAATTTCTATTCCGTGACGAACGTACTTTTTGTCCTTGCCACTAACGAGCTTGAATCGCATTTTTTTTAGTATTCGAAACCGGTCGGACTGGTTAAGATCAACAATCCAGGTCTCAAGATTACCCTCTCTAACTCTAATAATTATCTTGTTAGGTGTGGGGATAGAATCTGACGGACTATTATTACTTATGACGAAAAACAAAACGTGGTGGACCACAGTTTCGTCTTTAGCATTTTGTCCCAATTGAACATTTCTAATTAATTTGATACCCTTAACTACGATCTTGTCTGATTGACGGTCATATCTTTTATTACCTAACTCAATACCATTAAGTAATCTCGCCACAACTTTTATTATCAAATTTAACGTCCCTTAATTGTTCATCGTACAGTTGTAACTTTCTTACTCCCCTTTTAGTCTTCTTAATATATCGGGAAATATTCTAAACATACCGTCTACGAATGTACGCCGCCTTACAAGGTGCATGACCATGGTAACTACACTTATATCTATTGGCCGCCGGTGTCCTTGACCAGCGGTACGCAAGGGGAGTCCGATACTGCCTGCTTATTACTCCTTCCATTTTTGATAAAACACTCCAAATCTTTTATCCTACAAATTTTGTAGATTCTCTTACTTTTGCTAACCCTTCTGTTCGGACACCTTAGCTTTGATATTTTTTTCCCTCTATTCCTCGTACCCACGAACAAACTTCGTCGGAGCTGACCGCCGTCTCTTCCCACAATCTTATTTGCCACGTCAAAAAATGATCCACGCACATTTAAGTGAACTGCTTGTAATTTTCGGGATACTCTTATAAGGAGTACAACATTGTATACCAAAACAATTAACAAAAAATAAAGACTAAAAAGGAGGGACAAAACAAGGTACCAGAAAAATAACTTTACCACAATAGCTATCCTATTGCAAAAGCATATTCCTTTATACTATCAAATGTGTTATGGTACTAAATAAGTAGCAAAACTACCCCGTGATTAAGTACGAAGATTCCCTAATTAAAATAATTTTAACACATTTATTTTCCTACTTTTGTTTTATGCCAATTATTTTGAAAATATCTTTACTTTATAACCACGCAAGTCACCAGAAATATGACACGTGTATAACATTATTCGGCAAAGAAATCAAAAGTATTCACACCACTCATACCTGGACCCGAGTGTGACTTCCTTTTAACTCCAACCATTCATGTGTCCATAAGTACAACAATTGATGACTAAGATTAGCGGAGGGGGGCGCTGATAATATTAATACAGCGTCCTCAGTCACACTACTTACACCATTCATAGCAGGTTTTTAATTAATAAGAAGACTGTGTATGGCTGGTATGAATTCACTGTTTATCACTACAAAATACCTCACCAAACCTCTTTCTATTTCTATACTATAAATATTTTCCTCACCTACCTATAATACCCCTACCAAAAGAATAACTGTTAAAAGTCCTCCTCATCCTTTTTGATCTACAGTTCGATTACATGGCCCAATAGCAGACCATACGATAAATGGGGATAATACGCAAGAAACCCCATAAGAATACAAGGCGACATTCAGTCAACGGTTCAAAACGCTCCACCAGTTAATCGGACGGCCCAACTTTATCCTCACATCTTTCTTCGAACCTTCTCCTCTCTCTCTCTCTCTCTTAATTATTGAAAGGTCCAATTTCACACAAATTCCCTCACGACTCTCAACATCATAGTATAATTTTCCGAGTGTATACTTCCATTTTCTAGGGTTTTCAATGCCAGCGATCGAACCTCTGGGACCAGTAATTCATAGAAATTTTTCTCTAAATTCGAACAATAATCGCAAGGATTTGTATAGATATGGCTCTCTCTGTAATCAATTTAGGGTTTTACATCCAAATCCAAGTCGTTTTCTCACTAATTCGCTGTCGTTCCGTCCGATTCAAGCTAGGGTGTCGAGGAGCTTAGACGGGTTTGACCCATGGGGAGGGTTTTTGAGGAACCAAAGTTGGAGAGAGAGAAGTAGAATCCGAGCCAACAGTTCATGCGAGCAAGACACGGATTCGAAGGCGAGCTCAAGCGAGAAGAGTGATTCGAAGACCGGTGAGAGTAATGGGGTGAGCAAGAAGAACTCGGCGAGTTCGAATTCGAGCTCGAGTTCAAATTCGAGTTCGAGGAGAGAGAAGCAAGGGAAAGGTGGGTGGTGGAAGGGTGGGAAGTGGCGGTGGCAGCCGATAATTCAGGCGCAAGAGATTGGTATGCTGCTGTTGCAATTAGGGATTGTAATGTTCGTTATGAGGTTGCTCCGGCCCGGAATTCCTTTGCCCGGGTCGGAGCCGAGGACTCCCACGACGTTCGTGAGCGTACCTTATAGTGATTTTTTGAGTAAAATCAATAGTAATCGGGTACATAAGGTTGAAGTAGATGGTGTTCATATTATGTTTAAGCTGAAATCGGAGTTGGGTGCTCACGAAAGTGAATTGGGAAGCATTAGTAGTAACTTGCAGGATTCGGAGTCATTGTTGCTAAGTGTTGCTCCGACGAGGCGAATTGTTTACACGACAACTCGTCCAACTGATATTAAGACTCCATATGAGAAGATGCTTGAGAATGATGTTGAGTTTGGGTCTCCGGATAAGCGGTCTGGCGGATTTTTGAACTCTGCATTGGTAAGTTTTTCAGAACTTGTGTGTTGCAAGCAATTACTATGGATTCGTTATTTGTGTGGCTGAAGTTTTTTACTTGACTGGAATTTGATCAGTAACTTGCTAAGTTATCATAGAGCAGAAAGTTTATATCTTCATTGATACCTATTTAGTCAGTGTTATGACAATCTTGAAGAAGAACCATGCATGTTATGTGTAATACAAACCAAAAAAAAAAAAAAAGGAAGAAAAAAAGAAAGAAAGAAAAAAGAAGAAGAAGAAGAAGAAGGTGCTTGCTTGTTTTCCTTTTAAGTAAACCAAACTGATAGGGGAAAAAATTGTTATGCTTGGAAGTGAAACAATGTGTTATTACTGGACGAAAAATTTAATTGAAATAATAAAAAATTTTTTTTTTTTTTTTTTTTTTTTTTTTTTTTTTTTTTTTTTTTTTTTTTTTTCCCCCCCCCCCCCAAAAAAAAAAAAAAAGGTCAGAGAACGTCTATCATGTTGTGGTCTGCTGCATTTCGAACTGAAGAAAATTAGGAAGTCAACTTCTTTCATGGAAGCTAAAAGTTTTGCTTATGGCCACTTTTTTATTTTAACCATCATCAGTGCAAAATATGTTTTGCAAAATGTCCTTTATGATGAAAATTCCTTGGATGCTCTTTATAACTCATGACGTTGCCTTGAGAATAAAAAATTCAGTGCTTTGCTATTTCTCTTCCCTTTCTTTGATGTCAAGATCAATTTTCTAAAAGTGAAATTGGTGAATTGTGAGATAATTAGTTCAGTCCTACGAAGCACATGTATATCAGAATAGGTACATCAATATGGTAAAATCTTTAAAAAAATATAAGGTACAGGTACAACTAGGTATGGTTGTAAAAAAATATTTATTTTTAATTTAAATTAATACAAAAATTAGTTCAATGGTTTAGTCGGTTAAGGATCCTACAACCTACAACCCACATTTTAATGCCAAAAGTAAGTATAAACCAAAGTTAAATGTCGTTATATTAAACTACTTACAAACAAAAGTTTAATTTTTAAAAGTATGCTAGGCATAGTATAAAGTCCAATGACACCTATTTCACTTTTGCATGAAAGAAAATATTATTCTGGTTGAGATATGCATATAGAAGTACCATGCAAAGTATCAGTACCTGGTATGGGTACGACATGCTTCATAGGATTGTTTAGAGGAATTGTATGGATCTTCTACCATGTCTTGCATTAGATTAATTGCATTTGTTTTGTCCTCCTCAAATTCTCAGCCACCCACAAGATACCACGCACCAAGTAGTAATTTTTTAATAGGGAAAAAGATTGAAACTAAAAAGCCTCCCCTAATTTTACTCACAATGACATGGCAAATTACGTGTTAACTTTTGAGTTGTTACAAACTCAACTATGGTATTTGTGTGTAAATTTGGGGGTTTAAATTGTGGGTCTCTAGCATTCCTCTTAAAAAAATCCACTAAGCAGCACCTTTTTCTCTTGGTCTTTTGAGGGGAACTTCATAAATATTATTTTATTGTTTTCAAGATGAAATTTCAACTCAAGTGAGTTAAGTTGTTGCATTAGACTCAAAAGTAGATGTTTTTATTTCTCAGTGAGAATTCAAAATTTTAGTTTTCTGTTGTCAAATATGTTTAATATTCAAAATTTTGGCTTGCTGTTATCCAATATAATTATTTAAGCATGTTCTCAACAAGCAAATGCAGTTTACTACACAACTAACATTAGTGTGATCCACAAAATGATTTTGTTTGCTCATTAGAAGAGGCAAAACTTGAACCTCGATGTACAAAGTTGAATCTTCTGATAGTCAAGGTAAATGCCAAAGTTCATAAAGAATATAAATAAAAAATTTGTTTGAAAAACTCAAATGAAATGAGCCTGTAATCTTTGTCCTTTATCGGCACCCATCTTTGACTTGCCCATTGAGTTTGGATGCTTATTTTATAACATTACAGTCCTCTTATCTTGTAGACATCCTCCTAGTGTCAAATGGTTACAACGTTTAGTAGCACTGTTTTTGATGAGAACTCATGAAGTCACTTTTAATAGTAAAGCATCAACATTTGCAATGACAATGTTGTTTACCTGTTTTAATTTTGGAAACATTTGCACTAATTATGATTATAATTATGTATTATTGTTACTGACGATATCTTTACTTGCTGACATCCTTAAATTGCCATTATTTAAATTTCTTTTAGATTGAAGTTAATAATTTAGGGGTCCTTTGGGAAATGGCTTTTTGGCTAAAATATGAGGTGAAATATATTGAAGTGTTTGGGAATGACTTTTTACACCAAAAAAAAAAAAATAAAGTGCAAAAAATAGAGTGAGTGAGAGGAATCTCAACTTTTTTTATATGTCTTTTGGGCTATTTTCCTATCTTTCCAAACGAGCCCTTAATCACATGTAGCATTATGTTGGTCTATAATTTAGTTGTTGACACCAATGCATTCTTTTATTGATATGTGGGATGGATGTTTTCGGCCGTGGGTCATGGCAGAACATCATAGTCTCTAGGGTAATCAATCAAAAGACAACAAACACCACCTTGACCGTAATATTCTGCATTGGATCGATAACTGCTGGTCTAAACTAGAGAGCCATAAATCGAGGATGCATGGAGTACCACCAGTCATCATGATGTTCCAGTTTGTTTGAGCATATCAAGCATATTGGTTTGGAAGCTGCTCAACAGCTTGATACCTGACACTGGTACAACTCTGCAACATGGTGAAGGCATTGATGAGACAAACTATGAATGCATTATATACCTATTGGCCCTACATGTACCCCATCTCTTCTATGGGAACTCTAGCTCTTCTGTGTTCGTGGATTTTAAGGAAGGTGAGGAAAGGGATTATTTTGACAAATATTCTATTGGCAAGTCTGGTGGTGGATGACCCCATGCCTTTCAGCACCTGTGAAAATTCTCTGAAATATCATTATTGCCGACATATTCTCTCCCTTTCTCTCTCTCTCTCTCTCTCTCTCTCTCTCTCTTTCAATTTTTTTTTTTGTATTATATATATATATTTTTTGTGAAACCAATCAGAGTTTGATTTCTTTGATGTTCCCTTCATTTATAGAGCAGTTTGTAGTTTCTAGTGTGGTAGCCGTACAGCACCAACTCCCCATCTCTACACACACACAGAGTAGAAGGGCTACTATAAAATGAAATTTTTAAAAAACGGCTACATCATCAGGGTTCTACAGTGTCCTCTTACTTTCACCACTACTGCATATTGCAGCTCTGTAGTATTATATACTTCTACTAGTAGTGTGTATTGCGGCTTTGTCATCTCTTTCTTTTTCCTGTATACTTCCTATAATTTTTTATCTGTTTGAAACGCAAACAAAGTACTGCTGCACATCTTGCAATCCATGCTATTTTTTAGTTCATAATATTGCATATGAGATGTAATGTAAAGTTCTACACGTTTGACTTTGAAATATGCTTTGCAGATTGCTTTGTTCTACGTTGCTGTGCTTGCAGGGTTTCTTCATCGCTTGCCTTTAGGCTTTTCTCAGGTGCAGACCAGCTTGTTACTTCTTATTCCTTGAAATTAATTCGTTACAGAAAGTGATTTTGAATTGATAACTGTAACTTGTGTACAGCACACAGCTGGTCAGCTTAGGAACCGCAAGTCAAGGAGTTCTGGTGGAGCAAAAGTGGCTGAACAAGGGGAAGTTATCACATTTGCTGACGTTGCTGGTGTTGATGAGGCTAAGGAGGAGCTAGAAGAAATTGTGGTATGTCAGACATTCCACAACTTTATTTACTATACTAATGAATCATAGCTTATAGTTGCTTTAAAAGGCATTGTCCTCATTCAGGAAACTCCTTTGCTGACATTTTGCTGTCCAGGAATTTCTCAGGAATCCAGACAAGTACATTCGACTCGGTGCCCGTCCTCCACGAGGTGTTCTCCTGGTGAGTTTTGACAGAGTTGGCTGCAAAGACTACTCAACTTTGTAAATAAAATTGAAAGATAAAAGGTTACTGCCAGAGATGGCACATTGTCTACCAGCAGCAGTTTAGCAATTGTGATTCAGATGCGTGGGACCAATATATTAAGTTTTTTCCCACTGGAGGAAATCTCCTACCTCAGATACTATGTAAATATATTGGCAAGTTCATCTTAATCTATATACTTCCATTCTTTCTATTAAATTACAACATATAGGGTGCTTTGTTTATATGATTAGCTAAAGTCTCTTTTTTAGATCAATCAGTGTATGGTTTGGACCATTGTTATCAAATCGTGAATTGAATTGTGAATTGTTTTGCTAAAATAGTGAATCGTGAATCATAAGAATTACTTTATTTAACATATACATAATATATAATTTTGTATATGTATATATTTATGTGAAGACACTGTTTAAAATGAAATATATATATATATAATGACACTGTTTAAAATGAAATAAATCTCATTGTATATACATATAAATCCACATATATCAATATAACTAACTTAGCTCTTTTTTATATTGAAAATATGACATTGTTTCATGCATTATGCAAATGTAACTAAATCTTAGTGAATCACAAAGAATCGTAGTGAAATGCATTTGAATTGTAAGATTCTCTCAATTTAAGATTCAATTTCATGAATTGAATCGTTTTGGTTGAAACTTGTATCGAATTGTATGAATCGAATCGTGAATTGTAAGAGTCCAACTGCTTGCATGACTGTGTATGTTGGTAAACATGGTGCCAGAGTAGAAACACCAGTTTGTTGTTATAACTAATTAATTTTATGTAAAGTTTGGCATAGGAATTGTAATCCTTCTTTGGTTATCTTACAGGTGGGTCTTCCTGGCACAGGCAAGACTCTTTTAGCAAAGGCTGTAGCTGGGGAAGCTGAAGTACCTTTCATAAGTTGTTCTGCAAGTGAGTTTGTAGAATTGTATGTTGGCATGGGAGCATCCCGTGTTAGAGATCTCTTTGCGCGAGCAAAGAAAGAAGCACCATCGATAATATTTATAGATGAGGTTAAAATCGTGGGGTCCATTTTTCTGTTGAGTGTCCATCTTAGACCTCTGAGCCTTCTTGGTGGATTCTTAGATGTCTTTTTCTTTTGTGCAGATAGATGCTGTAGCAAAAAGCCGGGATGGTAAATTTCGTATTGTCAGTAATGACGAGCGAGAGCAGACATTGAACCAGTTGCTCACTGTAAGGTTCCTGCACAGTAGTCCTTGTGCTTCTGGAACATTTACGGTATGTCTCTGAGGTTCATGTGTTTTGAAATTACACTGCAGGAGATGGATGGCTTTGATAGCAACTCTGCTGTGATAGTTCTTGGAGCAACCAATCGCGCTGATGTCTTAGACCCTGCACTTCGCCGACCTGGGAGATTTGATCGTGTGGTTATGGTTTGTATTTCTTTCTTCTTCTTCTTCTTACTTTATTTATTTATTTATTTTGAATATTCCTGTTGACATCTGACGTCAAAAGAATTTCCTTCCAGCTTAAGTGCTATCATAAATTATTTTGTGTCATGTGGATTTTCAGGTGGAAACACCGGATAGGACCGGAAGAGAAGCCATTTTAAAAGTACATGTTTCTAATAAAGAGCTTCCATTGGGAGAGGAGGTTAATCTTGCCGATATTGCTTCTATGACTACTGGTTTTACTGGGTAATCACTCTCCTTTCTAATCCAGTGATGTTTTTTTAAATTTTTTTTTTTAATCTTCATATTTATGTGTTTATGTAACACATTGAAAGTTATTTGTTGATTTTTGATATTGTGCAGGGCAGACCTTGCAAATTTGGTAAATGAGGCCGCTTTGTTGGCAGGAAGACAAACTAAAGTTGTTGTGGAGAAAATTGATTTTATTCAAGCAGTGGAGCGATCAATAGCTGTAACAATTTCTCTCTCTCTCTCTGAGTGTATGTGTTATTATAAATTGCTGTCTTTTTTCATTTTTTATTTAAAATCCCATTATTTATGTTTTTGTTTTTGCTTCCGTCTGATGTATAATTTGGATCTAGTTTAGTTATCCCATTTTGATGACATTTGTAATCCATGTGTAGCAAATGAGATCTCATGGGATGCTTGTTATCAGAATACTGTAACCTCCAATCCTGGATAACAAGCTTATTTAGTGCCTAGTGTCAACAATTAATTTTTTGCTTGACTTGGTGCACAGAAATAAAATGGCCAATTTTTTTGGTTGTCTACATAACCCTTGGGGGAGTGTTGCTCTGTGAGTGAAGTTGTTTTTCCTCCTAATGACATTATTAATATTCGTTTCATAAGAAAATAATATGCTCACAGTTTTGCCCTTTGGTTGGCAAAATATTGCATGAAATTTTTTTCACTTGAAGATTCTTGTTCTTCCCACCACATATGATGTATAATTGCATTTGACTGCTATGCATGTTACAATTATTTACTTTTTTTTTCCTTTATTTTTTCTTTTATATGGAGAATAAATCACTCACCTTCAGAGTGGGTCACTTGGTTCACTTTCGCCTTGAATTTTGAACCACGGGTACTTATATTTTGGCACAATACAGTATATTGAATTGTTTTTGGGATTCTTTGCATATCCATTATCTTCTTTTAACGCCTATGATGATTTGGTGTGATTGATTTTGTCATGTTTGCTTGCATGAGTTTGTTATCATTGAGTGCATTGAATTTGTCATTGCTCTCTTGCTTATGATCCACTAGTTTATTGAGATAACATAAGGTTATGTCTCAATCTCAACAGTTTCTTCTAGATAGATGTGTTTGTTACATTTAACTCTTGATTGTAATTATATAGAAACTAAATTCATTTAATTTATTGTAGGGAATTGAAAAGAAGACTGCCAAGTTGCAGGGAATTGAGAAGGCTGTAGTTGCACGTCATGAAGCTGGTCATGCAGTAGTAGGGACTGCTGTTGCGAAACTTCTCTTTGGGCAACCACGCGTTGAGGTTAGCCATTGGACTCCCCATTAGAATGCGTATACTATTTTCAGATATATTAATTTTTGTGTTGTTTTGTCTTTAGTGAGCTTTTTTCATATTTTATTTTATTTTTAGATGCACCTACAAAATAAATTATATGTGAAGCAATTTGAAAATTAAAAAAAATACTAAAGACAAAAAAAAAAAAAAATGGAAATGCGTTGCCTTTTTTTTAATATATATATGTATATATATATATTTGGGTTTCTGTTGCCTGTTTTTGATCAGCGAAAGTTAATGATTAGTTATTAGATTAGCACTTGGGGGAGTTGAACCCTCAACCTCTCATTGCAGGCACTTATATCTTGCCTCCATGCCACTGGGCCGCAAGGCTTTGGTTTTCTTTTGTCTTTAGTGAAAATTTTCTCATATTTTAGTCTCTTTTTTATTTTTATTTTTTTAATAGATGCAAATTGACTAAAATTTGAGAAAAGTTAACTACAAACAAAAAATGAAAAAGAAGATAGAAAATAGTTTTTGAAAAGTCAAACCGAACAAACCTGTTGGTAGCAGTACATGTTATGAAATGATGTGCAAATAATAGGTACTTTAAATATGTTATAAAGTGTAGGGTTTAATACCTATGGTGTATTCACCAAATAGATGATGTAATGATGACAAATAATTTTGTTTATCAGAAGCTGAGTATACTGCCAAGGTCAGGAGGGGCATTGGGTTTTACTTACACTCCTCCCACCAGTGAAGATAGATATTTGCTATTTGTCGACGAGTTACGTGGACACTTGGTTACTCTTCTTGGAGGACGTGCAGCAGAAGAAGTTGTTTATGCAGGCCGTGTGTCAACAGGTGCACTTGATGATATACGGCGAGCAACAGACTTGGCGTACAAAGCAGTGGCTGAGTATGGTCTTAACCAGACAATTGGCCCTGTTTCTGTGGCAACACTTTCTGCTGGTGGGGTAGATGATTCTGGGGGAGGTATTCCTTGGGGAAGGGATCAGGTTATCTTTTCTTGTTCTGGTTTTTATTTATTTATTTATCTACTTTATTTGGAGCATGTATTGATTGTAGACCAATCACAACAGGGACGTCTTGTTGACCTTGTTCAAAGAGAGGTTAAACTACTGTTGCAGTCTGCACTTGATGTGGCACTCTCTGTTGTGCGTGCTAATCCTACTGTTCTAGAGGGGCTTGGTGCACATTTGGAAGGTAATACAGAACTGCCAGTTGATTTAAATTTGTAGAACTTTTGATCGAACCGAATTGTGAATCATAACGATTCGGTTATAATTTCTAAAATAATTGAACCAAATCAAACTAAGCCTTGTGTACTCCCCATGATCCATAGTCCTATATTACATTATTGATTATGCTATGATTTATGACAATCCATAGATTCATGTGCTTCTATAAATTAGAGGAAACAAGAATCCAATATCCATCATACAACTAGCTAAAAAATTCAAATCACCAAAGTGAGATAAATTTAAGACTATGTATTTGTATACGATATTAAACCCATCACAAGATTCAGAACCTCACAAGTTCTAATTATTGTAATGTGTTGTCTAAAAAATGTCTTTAAATAAATAAATAAAATCAGTAGCTCAGAACTAATTTTTGTTTATGGCACAATTTTTATTTTTATAATCATTTCATTTAATACTTAATTGTAAATAATTTTATCTAGTTAGCTATAAAGTGTTGTCTAGAAAAATGTATTTAAAAAAAAAATCAATAGCTCAAAAATAATCTTTGTTTATGATACAATTTTTATTTTTATAATCATTTCATTTAATAATTGTAAATGTTTTTTATTTAGTTAGTTCATATATTGATCAAAAATAATTTTGTAGACATTTAAAATCAATTATTCTTAAAATCATTAACTATTGAAATAAAATGTAAAAGACTCCTTTTATAGTGATTTAAAAATATGAGATATATTGGATCATATTTAAAAACTAACAAAAATTGATCAAAATTTATTTTAAACTCCAATAAATGTGATTATGAAAAAAAAAATTATGCGTATTAGCAAGTTTTTTTCAAATTGTGCTAGAATAAAAAAATTCATGATTCCGGTTATTGCAACTGTTATGGCGGCTGCACCTGTTTTTCAAAACCTGGGTATTCGTCATAAATTTTGTCACTCACAATGGCTTTCTATCAATGTTTTTGTTTAGAAAAAGAGAAAGTAGAAGGTGAAGAGCTCCAATACTGGTTGAAATTGGTGGTTGCTCCAGCAGAGCTTAAGTTCTTCATTAGTGGCAAGCAGGGGTCTCTTCTTCCATTGCAGACAAGTTCTGGATAACATCTACAGCATACTGTAGACCCATCAACCTCAAGTGAAAGTTCAGGTTTAAAATTCTACATTCTTGTTGTAGCTTCATCATTTGCAAGCAAAGATGGCTAATATCATGCTATTGTCACCTCATTGAACGTGTTCGTGATCAACACCGACTTGCCCTTGCAACTTTGTATATTTCAATAAGGTAATTATGGGTTGATCTTAACGTCTACATTCTTTTTCCAAGTAATGTTACAAACACTAACTAGTGTCAGCAAATATACTAACTAGACACAATGTTAAGTGAGTCTCACGCCAAGTGCCCACATCAAGTGGTGATCCCATATGCATAGTTCGTATATTTATTGGTACACTGGTTAGTGTTTCTAGTGTTATTGTTATTTTTCTGTGTCTTATACTTTATTATCATCTGAAAAGCATACAGACATGGGCAACAATGACGGATTTAATGTTGTAAGAGAGCCTTCCCTTGCCCTTGTTATACGATGTCAACATCAAAAGGAAAAGGAGCTCTTATGTTTATTACTTGCATGTTGGTTTTTGAATTCTGTTGTATATGTGGCTATTATTTTTGTACAATATGACACTATGTATTGTAATTTTTGTTGTACACTTTACTCCTTGAATTGAACAAATATTTTACGTGCCGGTTCAAAATGTTTAATGCAGACTTTTAGTGCTATATCTATTTTGTGTTGCTGTATAAAACAACAGTGGAGAACATTGATGGTTTTTGTTTGGGATGGTAGCAACTTGTGTTGCTAACAAAATCACTGTAGTTGCCTGTAGTTTACAATTATGCAGGAACATAATCTGAGACCAGGCATGCTTATTTTCTCCAGGGATTTACACTTCGTTTTCAACAGATTTGAAAATTATGTAAAATATTTTGCACCTTGCTCATACAACATAATAAAGCCAACCATCTGCTCAAGAACATATGATGAAACATCATTTAATTTGCTGATAAACTTGAATCCTTTGCTTGTGTCTATGAATATATGGATGGTATTCGCTTGCTAGTTATGAATTTTGCTCCACTGTAATGTCCTTGTGTTTGGATCATGGATTTGCTTAGGGATTTTGAAAGGGAAAAGAAGTTCATAGAAAAAAATTAACTAATATTTTCATTTACATTTCTCACATTTTTCTTTTTCTTTCTAAATTTCTATTTAAATTCATAATCCAAACATAACGTTAGTGTTCTTGTGGAAAACAATATGAAGGCTAGACCTAAGACCCCGGTTTCTATACTGGGAAATTATTGAATAATCATTTCATTGTAATAGTGAATGATAGTTTTATTTGCAATGCATTTGTGATGTTTTGATTGTCCTTCCATTGAAAACAATGCTGATTGGGAGATCACAAATGTTATACAAACAAATAAATTACATAGAAAATTGATTAGAATGATGTGACAAATATTTTAAAATATGTAAAAAAATACAGGGAGTAAACTATTTTGACTTCCTCTCCTGATTAGCATCCCATTGGGCTCTTATTAGCCTGAATGAATTAAAATAAAAGGCCCACAGGATCCAAATCCAATCGTTATTGGGATTACTTGAAGGAGTAGATCCTTAATCTAGTTAAAAACTGTGGGTCCGTTGCATGCGCAAAGCAAAACCGAAAGAAGGTTCAAATGAAATTGAAATCCTAGAACAATTGGAACTTTTAGAGGAGAGCTGTTCACAAGAAGTGGTTATGAGCTCTTTCTTGTTCCGGTTTATAAGAGGTAATTCATTCAGTTGCCCTAGTTTATAAGAGGTAGTTCAGTCGGTTGCACTAGTGGAGTGAATGAAAAAGTGTGACGAGAATTCGCAACTTGAGATGTTGAAGGTGCAATCAATGGGTGCCAGAATTGCTACAATTGCTTCAGTTGGAGCTGCTGTCAGTATTGGAGTGTAATTTTAAGAATTTTTCTCACATTTTCCTATTGAGAGTATAAAATAAGTATGATTATTACCATTTATTATTTTTTTGGAAAAAATGATCATTATATTTTCTTAGCAATCATCATTCGTTATTTTTTTTTTTATGTTTTTCAATTATCTAACATAAATAATCAATAATCCATCTTCTTTATTAATTATATTATTAGGAAGTATCATGTGACTATATTTCAGGGTGACCATATTTTACGATTATTGAATAATCACGCATAATTTCATATATAAAGTTGCATTGCGCTGGGATTGGTTTGTCTTCTTAATGAATATCGTAGTAATTATAGCTTCATTTATTTCGCTAGAAGTTTATTTTGATGTAAAATATTATCAAAAATGCTAGAGGTCCCAAAAATTCTACCAAAAGTTTTACCAAATGTCTCACATGGGTGTGGGACCCACATGGGACCCACATTGTGTGGGTCCCACACCCATGTGAAACATTTGGTAAAACTTTTGGTAGAATATTACACTTGAAAAGGCGAACGAAGTGCCATCATGTTACTTTTGGAAAGATTAATATGCTATAAGTGAATTTGTTAAAAATTAATTATGGAATTTTTAATGTTGAAGTCACTTTAGGAACTATGACAAAAATAATTTTCTTAAATTGTTCAATCGAACAGTATAAAATGCTTGATACTATTTTACATCGAAATAAAAAAACTTATCTATACTATATATTTTTAATTAACTAAATAAGCTAACAACACTACATAAATAATATTACATTGTATTTTAAGGTCTCGTTTATTTGGCAGATTAAATTGGATGAGATTATGAGAACGGTGAAATTGAATGAGGAAATTATTAGTGTGGTGATATTAGGTTGGAGATGTAAGATAAAGTGTGTTTATTTGTATATTAGTGTGATGATATTAGTTAGTTAGACTTAAAAACCCTTCTCACATAAAATATAATTTTGTTAGTTTTTATAAAGTGGAAGAAAAAATAGCAAGGGGATTAGTTATCCCAACTCTCCCATGAGAATGTTAATCTCACCACGGGAGGGGATTTATACTCTCATGAGATTGTTAATCCTATTCAGTGTGTTTAGTTTGAGTTTTTTGGATTAATTTTTTTGAAAACTCAGTTTTTTGGTTTTTGTGTTTTTTTTTTAATTTTTAGTGAATATTTTTAAAATTTTAAACTTTTTTTTTACCTTTTTAGATGTACTTTATTTAGATGTATCTAAAAAGTAAAAAATTTGTGAAAAATATTTTAAAAATTTAATAAATACATAAAAATATTAAAAATGTACTGAATTTTAGTTTTTTTTTTAAAAAATATTTAGTGAATTTTTAAAAGGTTTTTTTCACAATTTTTTTATTTTTTAGGTATATTTATGTTAGGTATGTCTAAAAAGTAAAAAAAAATTGCTTAAAATATTTAAAAAATTCAGTAAAAATAAAAAAATACGAAAAATAAAAAAGTAACATTTTCTGAAAAGTGTTTTTGAAAAAACACAACCAAGCAATATATTTTGTTATACACAAACATGAGTTTGGTGAGTCTTACGAATTGATAATTCAATCCTCCCTCCCAAACCTCCAGATGGCCCAAGATTATTCAACAATTAATGAAATAAGCTTGTCTAACTCTAGAACCACCCTTGGGGAAGCTATCTTCCTATGTATGGATTGTTGTTTGCTATTAATTCTTGTCAATGGAAGGCGAGTACGGGATAGCCATTCGTTTAGGTTCCTATCCAAGAGATTTGATGTCCTATTCTTCTTCTGTTTTTCAATTAGTAAGTTTAAAAGGTAACCAGGGGTGAGTGGCAACCTGGTAAGGGCCTGGGGTTTAAGTCCCTAGGTCCTGAGTTCAACTCCCCTCTGGGCCAATCTTCTGGACGTAGCACAGTTGGTTAGAAGGTTGACCTTAAGGATGCCTTATCAGTTACTTGGCGTGAGTTTAATTCTCCCCCGCTGTGCGAGTCCTGACTTAAGCAGAGCTTGCCTTGGGAGGTCGGGACAAGTTTTCAGGTTATAGTCTCCCCCGCTGTGCGAGTCCTGACTTAAGCAGAGCTTGCCTTGGGAGGTCGGGACAAGTTTTCAGGTTATAGTCTCCCCCGCTGTGCGAGTCCTGACTTAAGCAGAGCTTGCCTTGGGAGGTCGGGACAAGTTTTCAGGTTATAGTCTCCCCCGCTGTGCGAGTCCTGACTTATAAAATTAGAAACTTCAGTGGTAGAATGTAATTTTCAAAACCATAGAGAGCGATTCGTATTTTAATAAAATCTTAGGAGGTGTATTTGTAATTTATCCTTATTTTAATAATTTTTTTGACTTTTTACAAAAATATATGCAAAGAAAGAAAAAAAAAAGAAAGATAGTAAAGTGACAATTTGTAAAAAAAAATTGATTTTTTAAATGTTTAATATATAATATTTGGTCGATAAATGGGCTTAAATATCTCAAAAATAACTTACACTACAACATATAAGAGTTTTAGAAATTGAACTTTCTGATCTTTAAAAGTGAAAATTTTATTGCAAAAGACATTTATGATCAATTTCTATCGTCGTGAGAATAATCACTAGCCGTTTCGAAAAGTCAAAAATAATATTTTTAGCGATAAAATTTTGAAAATATAACTAATAAGTAGACTTTTAGGGATAAAATAATTTGGTTTCAAAATGGTTTATTTTTTAAGATAAAAAATTTCTTCCCAAAAGGATAATAATTTATCACTAATATCCAATTTTCGTTACTAAAAATATAATAATACTTTTCACAATAAAAATATTTAATTCCTAAAAAATAATTTTATCCCTAAATTTTAATCTCTAAATTTTTATTTTTTTTTATTTTTTTTAGTGTTGTAGTGAGGCATCCTATATGCTTGCATTCATCAGTGTCAATCCCAAAAGTCCATTAGAATTTCAAAGGGATGCACCACTTTAATAACAGATGCTCATAGTTTAATGGTTAAATTACACTTACACTCCTAAGATTTAAATTTAATACATATTATTTCTTGACATTTAAAAAATTACATTAACCTCCTGTCATTGTAATTGTTTAGATAGAATGAAAATATTGAACTCAAACACTCTTTACATTCTTTCTTTTCTTACTTTGCTTTATTTCCTCTATTTTTTTTCCCTTTAATTTGCTTTTTTTTTTCAATGTAATTTTCTCTATTTTTCTATCAGGAGTTATTGCCTTTTATATAAGTAGGGGATTGTGAAATAGGAATTGGGGTTGTTGCTGCGCAATCTAAGCAGCAGCAACTGTTGTGCATCGAAATGAGCCTATTCTGGGGCCATTTTGATAATCCAAACCGTTCATATTTTAGAATACATCAAGTAAAACATACCTGTAAAAAATTCAAATTAATCGGATATCGTTTACATATTCATCCACTTACATTTGTATCTACAAAAATAAATAATAATTGTGATTTAAAGTATTAAAATGAATAAAAATGTGAGTAGATGAATAGGTAAATGATATCTGATTAATTTATTTTTTTGCAGGCATGTTCTACTTGATATATTTTAAAATATAAATAGCTCGAATTATCAAAATGGACCCTGTGCACAACAGTTGCTACTGCGCGAGATGCACAGCAGCAATCCCAAATTATGTGAAATAAGACTATTAATCATAAAGGTGAGAATGTAATTTTTAACAAATGAAATTGAAATCCTAGAACAATTGGAACTTTTAGAGGAGAGCTGTTCACAAGAAGTGGTTATGAGCTCTTTCTTGTTCCGGTTTATAAGAGGTAATTCATTCAGTTGCCCTAGTTTATAAGAGGTAGTTCAGTCGGTTGCACTAGTGAATGAAAAAGTGTAACGAGAATTAGCAACTTGAGATGTTGAAGGTGCAATCAATGGGTGCCAGAATTGCTACAATTGCGTCAGTTGGAGCTGCTGTCAGTATTGGAGTGTAATTTTAAGAATTTTTCTTTCACATTTTCCTATTGAGAGTATAAAATAAGTATGATTATTACGATTTATTATTTTTTTGAAAAAAATGATCATTATATTTTCTTAGCAATCATCATTCATTATTATTATTTTTTTTTTATGTTTCTCAATTATCTAACATAAATAATCAATAATCCATCTTCTCTATTAATTATATTATTAGGAAGTATCATGTGGCCATATTTCAGGGTGACCATATTTTAGGATTATTGAATAATTACGCATAATTTCATATATAAAGTTGCATTGCGCTGGGATTGGTGTGTCTTCTTAATGAATATCGTAGTAATTATAGCTTCATTTATTTCGCTAGAAGTTTATTTTGATGTAAAATATTATACACTTGAAAAGGCGAACGAAGTGCCATCATGTTACTTTTGGAAAGATTAATATGCCATAAGTGAATTTGTTAAAAATTAATTATGGAATTTTTAATGTTGAAGTCACTTTAGGAACTATGACAAAAATAATTTTTTTAAATTGTTTAATCGAACAGTATAAAATGCGTGATAATATTTTACATCGAAAAAAAAAAAAAAACTTATCTATACTATATATTTTTAATTAACTAAATAAGCTAACAACACTACATAAATAATATTACATTGTATTTTAAGGTCTCGTTTATTTGGTAGATTAGGTTGGATGAGATTGTGAGAACGGTGGAATTGAATGAGGAAATTATTAGTATGGTGATATTAGGTTGGAGATGTAAGATAAAATGTGTTTATTTGTATATTAGTGTGATGATATTGGTTTAGTTAGACCTAAAAACCCTTCTCACATAAAATATAATTTTGTTAGTTTTTATAAAGTGGAGGAAAAAATAGTAAGGGGATTAGTTATCCCAACTCTCCCATGAGAATGTTAATCTCACCACGGGAGGGGATTTATACTCTCATGAGATTGTTAATCCTATTTAGTGTGTTTGGTTTGAGTTTTTTGGATTAATTTTTTTGAAAACTCAGTTTTTTGGTTTTCGTGTTTTTTTGTTTTTTGTTTTTAGTGAATATTTTTAAAATTTTAAACATTTTTTTTTACCTTTTTAGATGTGCTTTACTTAGATATATCTAAAAAGTAAAAAATTTGTGAAAAATATTTTAAAAATTTAATAAATACATAAAAATATAAAAAATGTACCGAATTCTCGTATTTTTTTTTATATTTTTAATATTTAGTGAATTTTTAAAAGGTTTTTTTCACATTTTTTTTTATTTTTTAGGTATATTTATGTTAGGTATGTCTCAAAAGTAAAAAAAATTGCTTAAAATATTAAAAAAATTTAGTAAAAATAAAAAAAACACGAAAAATAAAAAAGTAAAATTTTCTGAAAAATATTTTTAAAAAAACACAACCAAGCAATATATTTTGTTATACACAAACATGAGTTTGGTGAGTCTTAGGAATTGATAATTCAATCCTCCCTCCCAAACCTCCACATGGCCCAAGATTATTCAATAATTAATGAAATAAGCTTGTCTAACTCTAGAACCACTCTTGGGGAAGCTATCTTCCTATGTATGGATTGTTGTTTGCTATTAATTCTTGTCAATGGAAGGCGAGTACGGGATAGCCATTCGTTTAGGTTCCTATCCAAGAGATTTGATGTCCTATTCTTCTTCTGTTTTTCAATTAGTAAGTTTAAAAGGTAACCAGGGGTGAGTGGCAACCTGGTAAGGGCCTGGGGTTTAAGCCCCTAGGTCCTAGGTTCAACTCCCCTTTGGGCCAATCTTCTGGACGTAGCACAGTTGGTTAGAAGGTTGACCTTAACGATGCCTTATCAGCTACTTGGCGTGGGTTTAATTCTCCCCCGCTGTGTAAGTCCTGACTTAAGCAGAGCTTGCCTTGGGAGGTCGGGACAAGTTTCCAGGCTATAGTCTCTTACTCGGAACGGACAACAGGACACTCCTTGAGAGGTTGGGACAAGTTTCCAAGCTATAGTCTCTTACTCGGAACGGACAACAGGACACCCTGGTGATCTCCTTTAGGGGCGCTGCCTTGGACCTGCGGGAGAGTGAGAGGATTTTCCTGTAACCAAAAAAAAAATAAAAAATAAAAAAATAAAAAATTTCTCAAAACTCAAAAGTCACATTTTAAACTTTTTTTTTTAGATTAATTGTTGAAAAGTTTAAGGTAAGGAGGGTATTAGATATTAGATTTAGTGAATTTTTTTCTTTGATTAGTGAGAGGTCTACCATTTGTGAAATAGTTTGGTGAGAAGTTCTTTTATTAGTTTTAGAGGACATTTTATTTCCAATGTTACCCCTTAATATTTTTTGTTGATTTTTTTTTATCTGTTGACATTCATTGACTATTTGTTCAAATTTATATCTATCTGTTCAGATTTGCTTTCTTATCTGTTCAAAATTTTCCATTATCTGTTCAAATATTCTGTCCAAATAGAATTTATCTATTCAAATATTCTATACAAATAAAATCTATCTGTTGGAATATCTATCTGTGAAATTTTTATCTGTACAAATTTTTACCTATACGAATTTTATGTTTAAATTTTATCGGTACAAATTTTATGTTCAAATTTTTATCGCATGTGGATTGTGTGATTGCCGTCGGAAGTCGCTGGTGACAAGATTTGCGGCAAGATTTGAAGCCTTCAATGGTCGGCGAGATCGTTGGTTAGTGGCGGGGTTTTCGAGGGAACGAAGAGTTGAGCATGACATCGGAGATCACCATTAGAGGAGTTCTCACCAATGATGAAGATGAAAATCTGAGAAGAGATAGAGAGAGAAAGCTTTCGTGGTATGTTCAGCGGCGATGGACGACAAAGGAGGAGTCCATGAGATGTGAAAAGACTAAGAGGCGGTGGAGAGAGAAGAGAGAGAAGATGCTGTGAGTATGAGAGAGAGAGAGAGAAAAGAGACAAAGTGATTTGGTTTGCTCAGGGTTTAGAAACAATATATAAATAGGTAATTTGGTCATTTTATAAGAGTTTGTCCTTATGGACATAATGTTTTAACGTCTAGACTTTTGAACAAAGAAAATTCAAAAATGGATTTATCACTTGAGCTCTCTTTTTTCTTTATTTATTTTAGATTTGATTTATTACAATGAAATCTCATGAATTATAATCATGGTAATGAAAGTTAATTTTGTTAAATAAAAGAGTATACAAAGGGATATTTGTAATTTTTCAAATCACAAGAGACAATTTGTATTTTAAACTAACCTCAAGAAATGTATTTTTAATTTATCTAAAAGTTTAAGTAATTGAGAAGGTACACCAAACAATTAAAGAAAACCTGCGGTAGACTTTGTAATTACGAATAATTTGAAGCGATAAAGTGTAATTTTGCCTAATCTAATATTTATAGCGAAATGTATCGGCTCTCTCTCACACGTCTCACATGGGTTTTTCTGGGGTTACTCTGCCGTGGTTTCTCGCTCTGTCCTCGCTTTCCTTCCCAGTCGGTTACAAAACTTCGGCCGAAACGATCCAAATCGTAATCGAACATCCTTTGGGAATTTTAATTACGTTGTTATTGTAATTTGTAGCTGAGAAATTACATATAAACGCAATTGTGCTCTCAATTGAAGAAGAATAAGAGGATGGAGGAGGAGAAGGACAAGAAGAAGAAAGCACAAGGAGAGGTCTATCACGAGAGGCAGAGACTGCAATTCTGTCTCTTACACTCCCTCAACAATCTCCTTCAGGTAAAACCCTTTCTTCCTCTTCAAATTTCTTTAATATTTGTGTATATGGGTATACTTGTATCTGAAACTACTAATTTCAGTTGAAAAAATTTTAATTTTTTTTAATTTTTTTTTAATTTTGGCAATTATCTATACTGCTTCCTTCGGTTGCTGATGAAAGATGGGAAAAAAGCGAAGATATTGTTAGGGTTTAGGGTAAAAAATTTATTTGATATGAACTCAGATTTAAGCATAAAGGTGGGTAAAAGTTTTAATAATGGAAGAGTTATAAATTTGGAAGCTACAAAATGATATTAAAAATTTTGAGTCAACAGTGTTACTTGATTTGGCTTAAAAATGGGTAAACCTTATAAATTTGATTCAACTAGTGGAGAGGCTTTTGAGTGATTTTTACCCAAATTTAAGTTGATTTAGGTTTTAGTCAAGGATTGAAGATGTCTTGAGGCACTAGTCCTACATCATCTCTCTAGGCTATTCATATACTAGAGATTTGTTAATATAATCTAAGGGGCTTGGCATGAAGTCAATTGGTTTTGGGTTCCAATAATTCTAATATGACATCAGAGTTGGGTGTTGGGCAGTCCATCTAAAATCAATTTGTTTTGGGTTGGATGCGTCTAATAATTCCAACAGAGATTAAATTCTTTGTGTTAGATGCGTAATTGTTTTTAAAATTGAGAGCATTTCTAATAGTTGGTGCCAAAAATGGTAATGCTAAAGCCAAATTATGGCATGCTTCAAAGCCAAAAATGTCTTAATTTGACAGTGTTGCTTCAATGGTGTAAATGTTGTTTCCTCTATTTTCTTCACAAAATCTCAAACATCATAACACAGAAAGAGAGAGAGAGAGAGAGAGAGAGAGAGGGAGAGAAGAAATGTTGCCAAATTTAGCAGACTGTTTGGCATTGCTATATAATTTGGCATGGAAGATAGCGCTCCATTGGAGATGAATTTGTAAGAATTGTTTCAAAGTTTAATTTAGTATATTGTTTGGCATTGCTATAATTTAGCATGGAAGATAGCACTTAATTGGAGATGAATTTGGAAGAATTGTTGCAAAGTTTAATTTAGCATATTGTTTGGCATTGCTATAATTTAGCATGGAAGATAGCACTTAATTGGAGATGAATTTTGAAGAATTGTTGCCAAATTTCAGCTTTGGCATTGCGGATAGCGCATGGAGTTGGTCTGAGAAAATAAGAACTACGAAATAAAATCTCTCAAACATGGCAATTTTGGCTTAGTTGAGGTGATTCTTTCTAGTGTTTTTGGCAAAACCAAAAAATTGAAGAAGATTACAAAAAAAAAGTTTTTGTAGGAAGATTAAAATGTTTTTTTTTCTCTTCCTTTTGCTTAGTTTTCTTGAACTAAAAATTGTGTTAATGTTTTTGTTACATTATATTGTTGACCTTGTTTTATTAGTCGGTCTTTAAACTTTTCTTTGATTATGTCTTATATGGGTTTGTAATGAAATTATGTTCTAATTCAGGAAAAAGGTGCATTCACTCGGGCACATTTGAATGCCATTGCTGAAAAACTCAATCATGATGATCCAAACAAGGGAACTTGGACACCAGTTTCCGTTATCTTCAAACCACATCATAATGCACTTACTGGAAACTACGATATAAACGTTTTAATTGCAGCGCTAGAAGAAAAAGGTAAAAAGGTAATTTGGCACGACAAGCGTAGTGGAGCTTCTTCAATTGACCTCGATGAGCCTGTAGATAAATTAATGGGTATTGTGCTTAACGTCCCAGTTAGGAAGTATGGTGGCCTTTGGAGAGGTAGGCATTGGGTTACGTTGAAAAAGATTGAAGGGGTTTGGTATAATTTGGACAGTGATTTTTCTGCTCCTCACTCTTTTAAAGATACTGAAGAAGTGAGGGAGTTCTTGGATGCCATCATCGGTGGTGGTGCGGAAGTTTTGCTTGTCATGAATGATAAGCGGTGAAATTTCTTCTCCTTGAATGGAAATGCTGCGATTGAATTTCAAAGTGCATATGTTAAGCTCTTCTAGTTACTGCCCCGCCCTAGATCAAGAGGGAGTTTCTTTTGTTTGTTCTCTATCCATAGTGATGGATCTCTGTTTCCATTTGGGCTTTTTGTGGCTGTTCCTTGGATGATTTCTTCAGTTGAAATTCCATTTGTGAGGACATCTTTTGATTCAATATGTGGATTCTGATGATTCATTTTCAGGGTTTTAATTGGATCAGAGTTGAACAAAGCATGTAGATATCTGAAGAAAAAAGAGAGCATTGTACATACCATCAATGGATGGTCATGGATACTGATTTTGAGCTGTTAGACAAAAGCTTGATTTTGGTGTAGATGATTGAATTCAATTTTCCTTCCAAAAGTCTTCTGGTTAGTGAAACAATATCTAGAATGTTTTAACCATGCTTTTGATTTTGATGATCATATTTTGTCTATTATATATATATATATAAGCATTACAAAAAATGTTGCCATGTGTATTTTCTCTACTTTCTGGTTATTTGCTTTATTGACCCATGAATTTTCATTACTCTGTCGTTGCCGGCCTTTTGGATTTGTTTTTCACTTAAGAAAAAACCATCAAATCTAATAAGAGTATGATAGTTAATTAGATTACAGTATCATACTCTATCAAAAGACCAGTACCTCTCCACTAAAATGATTTGCTCTTACCAAAAAGCTATTCTACAAATATGGTTTTGAGCCCAAAAACCAAGTCATCTTGTCACATGGAAACCTTGTCGCAGAGGTTCTCCCGTCATCTCACACTTGAACCCAGGGCGGCTATTCTTCTTGGTGTATCATTTGGGTGGGAGATAATAATTAGTGCATCTATGTGATGTAGAATGCTGTAAAGAGAAGAAGAAGAGGGCAACACAAATGACCACAACCTTCAATAATCTTATTTCAAAGCTAAATAATACAATCCAAAGCCTAATATTGAGCATCACTGTAACGGCCTCAAATTAAAGCATGTGACAATCATGCATAAGATCTATAAACATAATAGAAAAGTTACATTTCATTTATAAAAGTTTTCTTTACAAAAGATATCACATGCATTACATTTTCATTGATGTTTATCCTGAAATTATAGCATGTAATTCTAACTCCAAATAACAAAGTAAATGCCCTAAGGGCTTACATCTTTTCCAAGCTATCACTTGGTTACAGCAAAAGAAGAGTTCTAACTCTTTTACATATAAAGCCCTCGGCTTGAGTTTACATTTAACATCAAAAATAAATCATCAAAACGGAACCTTTAACTCCTAAACCTCTCAAGCTAAGATCTTAGAGGCGGCATCTCACCTGTACCTGAAAAATGGTGTCCCAAGCAGGGTGAGCCAATGCCCAGTAGAGATATGCTAAACAGGATATGAGAATTAACTAAAACATTAGCATTCGATAAATGTTTAACACATGTAAATTACGTACATCCTTTCCACAACCAATCAACATTCACGTATGTATTCCGAACTTCCATTTATTTATCCGAACCAATTCATTAACATAGATCATTATTACCCAAGTAATTCAAGATGAGACTACAACTGATATTAATAACACTAAAAACCATAAACATCATTCAAACACTTCCATTCTCTTGCCATTTTTCGGAACTACGTCCGAACAAACCGGCACCCAAATATATATAAGATTTCGGGATTTTCACTCTGGACACTCCGGCCAACTTAATTATCCATGGAGTCCATCTCTATCTCCTTCCACACAATGGAGTACATCCCCTATCTCCTTCCAAACAAGATACATATACAATGTATTTAACACGTCGTCATATACAATGACCAATTAAATCACATATTCAATGTTAATATTCAACCGTCATATTCAATGACATATTCCAATTGATTAGTTTCAATTCACCTAATCATCATGCAGTTTCTACAACAATCATGGCTATCCTCTACCGATTGCTCAAAACAGATATTTCTAAACAGATAATTAAATTTATCAAACAGATAAATTATCACATTTTTCATAGGTGAGTGATTCATTGATCCAACTACATCACTTAATTACATTTTCCCCCAATTTCATCATTCTCAAACCAATTTCATATTTCCACATTTATTTCACTATTTATACAAAATAGTTAATTATTTCAAATCAGGGCATTTTCTCCCATTTCTCAAATATTGCCCCTAAGGCCAAATTTCACTCATTATACACAATTAACCCATTGTCAAGATCTCACATACATATATGAAACCCAAATAAGAAAACCCCTCTTTTAAATATTCAAACTCAAACCCTAACTTTATCCAAAATTCTCAAATCCCACCATTATACAAAATGATTAACATTTATGTCAAAACTCATATTAAGGAGTAGATTATCTCTACCTCAAAAGGAGAAGCTCAAAGGAGAAGAAGAGGGAAAACCAAGATGCTCCAAATCCACACTTTTTCGGATCAAAAGACAGCCCACGCCAAGCTCTACCCTTTTTACAAAGGGACTAGGGTGGAGAGACCCAAGAACAAAGTGTATTTGTAGAGAGAGAGAGAGAGTTTAGAGAGAGAGAGACAGCTAGATTTAGGGTTTGGAGTGAAAAAGGAGATGAAAAAGTGATAAAAATCATGTTGCTGCGAACTGATATATGCGAGGCTCGCTCGAGCGAAGGAGTTGTCGCTCGAACGACCAGACACAACAATAATCTCGCTTGAGCTCAAGAAGCGTCGATCAAGCGAACAACGCGAAGCTTCAGGTCTGACCCAACGCAGACGCACGCTTGAGCGCAAGAGTTCTCGCTCGAGCGAAGGAACAAAAAACACTGGGCTCACTCGAGTGCAAGAAAGCTCGCTCGAGCTAAGAATGCCACCCTTTAGGTCTAAAAGAGACGTAGACGCACGCTCGAGCGCAAGACTGCTCGCTCGAGCGAAGAGACACACGACACAAGACTCGCTCGAGTGCAAGAAAGCTCGCTCGAGCGGAAGCTACGTCTGAAAAAGAAACCTGAAGACCCACAATACTCACTCGAGCGCATAAACCCTTACTCGAGCGAAGAAGCAAACACCCAAGGCTCGCTCGAGCGCAAAAAGCCTCGCTCGAGAGAAGAGACCAAAACCTGGGCAACAACCACTTGCACCAACTCACAACCAACCTGTTCCAAACTCGCCCAACACATCCCAAAACTCAAATACAAAGAATTAAAGGATGGAAATGAGATAAAGACAACAACAAACAACCATGGAACCCGAGTCTGGAACACAATAAAGGTAGGGGTAAAACTTGGACCACTGTAATCTCCAAGGGGAGAGGCAAAACAATATCGTTAGGCATTTTTGCTAGTGAACCCTATTTTTTTCTCCTCCAATTGACTTTGTATTAGGATAGGCATTTTGCCCATTTTGATTTTCACTCTCCACATCTAGCCAGCTTTCATTGATAGGCAAAAGTTGTTAGCACAACAATATTGTCCAAAAATACTGTTCATCTTCTTCCCAACAGATACGTCGATTGTTCGGCTAGTCGTACCATTGGTGATCATACAACAGACACACCGGTTGTCCTGGGAGATGACCTCCTCAATAGGTTAGAGTAGTCGTCATGGGGAATGACCTCATCAATAGTTTAAAATCATATTTGCAAATGCCATGTCAATATATGTAGTATGTCATAAAAAATTGTTTATTCATTTATTTATGTTTATAATATTTTTTCTTTTGAAAATTGGTTAAGTTAGCTTGATTGATTAGCTAAAATAAAGAGTATAGTTGGAGTGCACATTAGCTAAACTAGTTAGGCAAAATGAAAATTGCACTTTTATGTGTACTTTTGCAAGACATTTTGCCTCTTACCCTTGGAGATGCTCCGACATTAACCAAATTCAAAATAGGAAACCATATCCTAATAGAAAAGGAACACAAATTTTAATAAAACTCCTAATTAAAATGAAATAAAATAAAACAATAAATACTAAAGACAAAATTATATAATCTCCATGTGCGCATGTTCCGCATCCCTTTGCCTTGTCTTTCTTCTGCTGTAAGTTTCTTTTGGTTTTGGGGTTTAGTAATAGACTATAATCTTCTTGGTGTCTCTAATTTCTTGAGGTTTATAGAGAGAGCACTATTGCTCTTTGGTATCTCTTTCCTTTTTCAAAATTGAAATGCAGACTGCATTTTTCGCAATTTTCTTCGGACACATACAGACTGTTTTTTGAGTAATTGTTTTACTCTGTTAAGGTTAATTAACCATTAATTTGTTGGCTTTAGGACCTACATCTTGTACAACTTCAAATCCCACTTCAATTTTTTGTGTTTTGCAATGTCAATTCACACAAACCATAACAAAATTACTCACCTAAGCTGCCTACTCAAATGTTATGATATGGCAGTGCAAATATCATGATGAGAAGCAATTTCTAAAGTGAGAACCTAAACTAGATACACGCTGCTTGAGAGTTCTTGTTGCTTATAGTAAATTGTAACTTGAGATGGGTTTGGGGATCTTTGGAATCTTTGTTTATAGTTCTTGATATGAGACACCAAGTGCCTCTAGGTTGTACACTGTGGAGCTGTGTATCATATTATATATGCACACAGTAGAGCTCATCTTCAAGAAATTAGTAACTTCAGCCACCATTTCTCCACCTGTTCAGCCATCTTCAAGAAACCCCATCTCTCATTTTCTCATTGTTTATCCTAACCCAACCTCAACCCAACCAATATGTGGTCATGAACTCCATTGATGGTTCTGTAAAGCAAAGTACTGAAATCTCTACAAATTTTGAAATCAGACCCATATAGTGGTGACAGTAGGTGGGGAGGCTCTGATATGGTGCGGTGGGTGGTTAAGCGTTTGGGTCCTTTGGGGTCAAAAGCCCTGGGGTTTTCGTGCAGTCCACAAAATGACGCCGCTTTGTGGACTGAAATTTGGGAAAAAAGGAAAAGCGCAATAGAGAGAGAGAGAAGAATTTATCAAAAGAAAAAGAAAAAGAGAAATCCAAGAGAGAGAAGAGACGAAGGAGGAATACCCACCGGCGACCGTCACCGTCTTCGCGCAATCTGCCAACAGAGACCGCCGGAGCTGAATTGCACCTTTGCTTCCCGCCAGAGCCTAAGGAGAGGGTTGGTGTGTTTGGGTGGGTTTATGAGCCAAGAAATTGATTGAAGAGTTGTTTGGCAGTAGCAATAAAATAGATCATGGATTCTGATATTGCAATATTTTTTTCTTAGTTGTTTTGCAATCCAATTTTGTTATTGGTTTGCCAAGCTGAGAGAGCTCCGATGGCAATCCGTCTTCGCCGACGTGAGTGTTTGTGTTCGCTGATCTTGAGTTCGCTTCCTCTGGTGAGAGAGCTCTAGCGGCA